TTTAAAAACATAATATAATTAAGCTACAATTCGCAAAAAGCCGTGCCCGGATACTTTCTTCAGGGGAGTGTATATGTGAATAATTCTAAGGATCAGTTAAGACCCTAGAGAGAGCGTGTACAATGCTGAGTTATATCGGATTCTATCAAATTGGCTTACCATTTTTCAAATTACTGGGCAATGGCATTTAGTATATTATAACTGGGTAACAGGAACCGTTTGCAAGTCTGGAGTGTTAACCCATTTTAAATTCACGTGATAAAGTAATTCGTAATAGATCGGCAGTGAAACAAAGGGGGGACAGACGGGCATCTTGATCGCGTCTAGACTGTAAATACCTTATTTGCCCGATAACATAAAATTCATAATTTTAGACCACCCACGGTTCCTTTGCGGGTTAAGAGAGTGATGGAATATTTATCACCGTTTCATTACGACATACTCTCTATAATTAGAGATTCAAAATCTTTTTTTAGCGAATTTACAAAGATTTGAACTTGGTGTCAACGAGAGTAGTCTTACGCTAACGCTTCAGACTAATAATAAACGTAAGCACAAATATAGTGCCATAGTAATAATTACTTTATCTGGATATCAAGCAATTGTCCTTGAACTTTTGGTCACAGCGACAGAAGACGAGCTCAAGGAACATTTTGAGCGGGCACTTTTCTACGCAGAACAACTATCCGCGGGTGAGACTTGGGTTATTAATTTTACTTGTTAAGATAACGCCACTCTGGCCAACTAATATAGATTTGAAAAAGGGTCCTCGAGTTGTGCACTTTTGGCACAACCTTAGCTTCACAAAAGTTCTTATGATTGCATGTTGGTGGGATGCAAGCCGTAACGAACGGCATATAACTAGTGTTGATAGGCTTGAAATGTGAATTACCTTGCATTTCACAATCGCTAGTGTAATGGAGAAAACTATTTCAAGTGTTTTTATCACGAGCTGAGTGATAATATATAAGCAGTGATGTAATTGGTCTCATTCCAATTGACAATTGGACAATTGGATTATGTCCAATTGTTCAATTTGGATTTTTGTTGTATTTGGATTAGATCCAATTATCCAATTAAACAATTGGAACTTGCAATTAGACTATGTAATTGGAAATTAGAAGATATTTTTATTGAAAGTATAATAAAAAATATTTTTTATAAATATATTATTGTTAATAATAAACTAATTTTATTAATTAATAATAGCAATTGAAATTGGATCAAGTCAATTGTCCAATTATTCAAATGAATTAATTGGTATTAGTACAATTTCAATTATCCAATTAACAATACTGTATGTAAGGTACATTACTAACCTAAACATTTACAGAGTCACCGACTTTACATAGTAAAAGGCATTTATTATACATATAAGACTTCTCATAAAATAGTGAAATAAACTTGCAAATGTAATACAAAAAATATATATATAAATTAATAATAATAATCAAGTTTTTGCCCTTATTTTTTAACTTGTAAATGTGTTATAAACTGCTTAGTATTATTTTCAGTATGTATATCACAGGGTGATCTATAAATTAAACCTTTTTTTTGTTCAGACAAGATAAATAAAATACTTTTTCAGATAGATTTTTTTTCTTTACATGAATGCAGGGAGTTTAATAGGATTGAGAAAGAGGTCCAAATTCACAAAAATAAATCTGTTTCTAGTATAACATAAACTTGATAAAATCACTAATTGCTATAAATCAATAAAGCTGCTATAAATTGATAAATAATTATTAATAATCTTTAAATGCCTTATAATTAAATGTTTTTATTATGTTTAAACTTAACTGTAAAAAAAATCTTCAATCTGATTGTGAAAAAAAATCCCAAAAAGAAAAGTTATCTGAATATAAAAACAAACTTTATAAAATTTTCTAATAATTTCATAATTTAAGATAATAACTCTAATAACAATTTTATGATTCTGATTATTCATATAAGTATAAATAAAAGAAAAAATACAGGTGAATGATGATAAACCCTAGTTAGATAAATTAATACTAGATGAAGAAATCTTAGTATCAGCATAATCTACAGTACAGAATTATTACATAAGAATATTAATTTCTTATTTTCAAGTCTGCATCATATGAATATATAGCTTATATAATCTACTTCAATATTTGTATATAATATTGTAATTACTACAATTTTTTTCATCTTCTTATATAATTTGTAATTTTAATTTAAGATAAAATATTCTAATAAAGCTTTGCAAAAAATGAATAGATAGATCTAAAAATTATATAAACTTTTAAATAGTATAAAAAAAAAAAATAGCTTAGAATAGATCTATTCTTATATTATATATTTGAATCTAACTAAAGATGAAACTAATTATACAATTGCTGAAATTTTAATATAAAAGATTTAACAAACTTAAATAAGCTTATTTAGGCTTAACTATTCTTTTTATATTTTTTATTTGCATTACAAATATATATAAGTGTATATAATAAATTTAAAATATATAATATTTTTTTGATCATTACAAAATACTGTATTATAAATTATCATTAATATACTATACTACAGAGGGTGGTCAAAAGTTTCCGGACACCTTTATAAATGCGATTTAAAAAATTTCGTCATATAATTGTGATACCATACTACGATCATATGACCGTCAATTGTTTAATAACTCTTTTTAGTTTTATTAGATTTAACGCTTCTAGTTCATTAAGTATTGTATATTTTCATATATAAT